CAATCATCATAATTGAGAAAATTAATTATATAAATATAAAATATTGATGCCTTATCAATCTTAAAAATTTACATAGAATAAAGTCAATTACTTATAGTAAAACAAATTGAAAACTACACTCTAAATATTTTGTACCAATATTTTGCTTCTTTCTACGTTAACTTTTGTAATGGAGACATTATCATAATTTCACATTTTCAAAATCAATTTTCTTTGTTATGATTTTACAAAATTTGAAAAACTTTACACTGCTAGAGAAAATTAAAAACGCTTTCAAACAAGGTGCCACATAACCTCCTTTCTTATTTAAAATTTTCTAGGAAATGCTCTTAATTCAGATGGGGTGCATACTTGGAAAGTAATAATTGGTTTCCGAAACACATGTAGTGACCGAGAAATAAAAACTTTGTGTCCGATACAACCAAGGAACTTTTATTTACTTGCATAAACAACTAAAATAATTGAAGACACAAGTGGATAAAGATGTCATGTCGCAAATAGATTATTTCGAGAAAAACAAGTTTAAAGTTTTACAACTGCATTATATGGAATATGGCTCATGACACCTTCCTATTTGATAAATATTCGTTAGTTATCAAAATTGGAAATCGAAACTATCGTAAACAAAAGATATAGTATATTTTAATTATTATATTAGACCATAAAAATCATTTTTTAAAAATGTGACATGACACCATTATATTCACTTGTCTTCAAATACAAGTTTTAGTCTTAAAGTTAAAATTTAAAAAATATATGTGACTTACCAATCGTAAGATTAAATATCAAAGTTAAATTTGCACAATGTGCAGTTAATGATAACACTTATGTATAAAATAAATTGTTTAATTTTTATTATTGATATCAAATAATATTTCATTTAAAAATTCTACTGTCCGAAATAATTTGAGAATACTGATACGAACGTTAGTTTTTATGAATGTTTTTTGTGTCCTGTGTATTTTAATTTATCAAGGCCAAGTTTTGGAAACTTCTAATGATCTTACCGAACGTAAACGAGATATAACGAATCATTTTTAAAGGCGCTACTTTTAAATATTTGCTGTAGGAGACCTTTATACAAAAAACGGTAGTAAATAAACCCTTTCAAAATAATACATATTACTTTAGTTTTAAAACGGAAAATGAAACATTTAAAACGATGAGTGAATTTTGTTTTAATATTTTTTACAAATAAACGGTAATAAACACAAAACATGTAATAGTAGTTTGTACAATAAGAGTGGATATGTTGGCCATACGGACAATACATTTGAGTTGTACAGTATATCCTTTCTACGACCTACTAAAAAAAATCTACAAATTTTAAAAATTACTTTAGGTTATTAAGACAAAATAAAAAAAAAATTTCGATAAGACAATATTTACTTTGTTATACAGGGTCTTAGAATAATCGAGTTAACTCAGTTGGATGAAAAAAATAAAATTGTTAACAAGACTTTGATAAGTGTAAATGGAGTAATAAATGCAATCTGGGTATGGGGGATTGAAGTAAAGTTTTAGGGGGTTGAAAAGGGGTGAAAATGGTATTATCGCGATTTCCGGTAAAAGTTGATATCAAAAATTCATAAAGTAAAAGTTTTGAACCAAGTAAAAACGTACAGCTTTTGTAAATGTCATTCTTTAACATAACCTTAAAATTTTCGATAATAAATGCAAAAGTTCGCTCAATTTTAATAATATTTGTTGAAAATAATACCTTGGTGTGTCTTAAATAAGCAAAAAAAAATTAAATAAAAAAATTCAAAAAATTTGGAAATAATTTTTTCGGTCAGAAACAATTTTTACTTTCCTGTCTGTATACAGATGAGGAAAGTATATGAATTATGATTTTCCACGGATTTTTACTTTTTGGAATTTCCTGAATCCTTTTCGACTATTTTCGGGATGATGTATGTGTGTGTCTTTATACTCGATAACTAATGAACGGATAGAGAAAAACACCAGATTTTAAACTTAATTCCGGCCTGCGATGAACTTCTCTATAATTTTTGTCTTGTACAAAATTTTCCTAAAATAGTCCGTATTAGAAAACTTTTATACAATGTAAAAAATTTAAATGTTTAAGAACATTATACAAATAAAAATTGTTTGTGATATCATTTCATATATTTCTTATCCTATATATAATTTCTTTAAAATTCGAGATATTTGAGAAAATGTGTAAATTTCGAATTTTGAAGAAAACTCAAAAACGGATAAAAAGAAAAACACCAAATTTCAAAATTAATCTTTATTCCGGTCTAAGGTAAACTAATTAGATTTTGGCAGAGTCGAAACATCTGGGGAGTACGTTATAGAGGGTAATTTTTATATTTTATAAAATATATCTGTTATTTACGTTTGGAGAAGAAAATACTTTAAATAAAAGTTACTTCTAATATTATTCTCTATAAATTTTGTCCTTTACAAAAGTTTCTTAAAATAGTTCGTATTCGAGAAATTTGACGAAATGTAAATATTCGCTATATTTCATATTCTATACATTAATTATCTAAAATGGATCATGTTCGAGATATTTGAGAAAAAGTGCAAATTTTAAATTTTGAAGAAAACTCAAAAACGGATAAAGAGAAAAGTTTTAAATTTAGGCTTCAATCCATTATGCGGTAAAATAATTAAGGAATAATTTAATAAATTTTTTAGGGATGCCATCCTCTCCATCTTCCTATAGGGGAATGGTGGTGGTAATTTTTTATACAAAAACGTTACAAAGTAAGTAAAGGCTTGTTTATATTATATCATAAGATAGGAGAAATATTTAACAATCACAAGAAGCTGTTAATATTGCCAATTTATTATTCTTTTGTAATAAAAACGTTACATTTTAGGTTATGAGGCTTCGGGCTTTTTGTATTGTATGGCTGAGGGTTATGTCTAATTAAATATGTTAGTATATTCAATACCAGTGTCTTAGGTCTTTTGAATATTGAATGTTTGTGATGGATAGCCTGCTTCTTGAGATTTTTTAGAAACAACCACTTTAAATTAAAAATTGTTAAAAAAAATAGCGTATACAAACTAATAAATAATTGTTTCAGATTTAAAATAAAATCGAGTCACAATACTAGAAGTATGAGAATAGTTAAAATGGCGCAATTAGTTGATACCGTTTGCCAACAAAATGTAAGAAAAAGTCCCAAAGAAATTTGCGGAGATAATTGGATGGGATCCACCAAAGGGGTGGCACAAAATTGATCGAAAAACATTTGATCGAAATAGAAATTTGATCGAAAATACATATTATCGAATGGCATTTGATCGAAAATTCATTTGGTCGAATAACATTTGATAGAAGATATATTTTATCGAATAACGTTTTATCGAAAAGACAATAGATCGAAAATTCATTAGATCGAAAGGACAATATATCGAAAATCAAATATCAAAAAATCAAACGATACCATTCAACCGTCCATCTAATCCTTACTACCAGGGAAACTTAACTGAGCGGCTATCAAAATTAGGTACTAATGGCAAATTTAAAATTTTATACTGTTAATTTAAAATTAATATTTTAGAGCTAAACGGTTATTTGGATTAAACGGTCATTTGGATTAAAATAAAGTGATTAAATCGCACAAAATATGTATTTCAATAAGGTCGAATTGTCTCCCGATGGGACATTTTAGGTAAATCATTTTAAGTTTTTTTATATAAAAAATTTAATAAATTTACCTAACCTGTGTGACCTGGAGCCGTCGCGGTTTGCCACGCAAAAAAATAGAGAAAAATAAGAAAAATTTAAACAAAAATTTTGACTAATTACCAAACCTGTGCGGCCTGGAGCCCTCGAGGATGGCTTCGCAAAAAACATACAAAAAAGGGAAAATAAAGAAAACCTAACCTATTTACCTAACCTGTGAGGCCTGGAGTAATTTAACTGATTGCTCTGAGACAGGTTAGGTAAGTTACTTAAGTTTTTAAAAAACTTAACTAATTTACCTAAGCTCTGTCAGAGCAATCAGTTAAATTGTCCCAGGCCGCACAGATTAGGTAAATTAGTTAGGTTTTCTTTATTTCTATTTATTTTTATAAAACTTAACTAACTTACCTAACCTGTCTCAGAGCAATCAGTTAAATTTCTCCAGTCTGAAAACGTTGTGGTTTGCCTCGCAAAAAATTATAAAAATAAAAAAAAAATTACCAAACCTGTGCTATTCAAATTTAACTGATTGCTCCCGCACAAGTTAGGTTAGTTAAGTACGGTACTTAAGTTTATTTTATTTTTTCATTTTTTGTTTTTGCGAAGCAACCAGCGATGATTCTAGGCTACACAGGTTAGGTAAATTAGTTACAATTTTTGTTTTCATATTTCTTATTATTCTATAATTTTATGAATATTTGGTTTTTCGATCAATTGCTTTTTCTATCAAATCTATTTTCGATCAATTTTCTTTTCGATCATTATTCTTTTCGATCATTTTTCTGTTCGATCATTTTTCTTTATGATCAATTGTTATTCGATAAAATGTTTTTTTGATCAAATGCCTTCGATCAAATGTTTTTGATCAAATGTATTCGATCAAATGTTTTCCATCAATTTTGAGCCACCATCACCAAAGAAAGCCAGAAAAAACACCATACAGAAAGCATTAAGGAAAATACTATAGACAGTTCCAAAGAAGACCTCGAAGAAATAAGCCCTCCTTAAAGGTAAGTAAAGGCTTGTTTATATTATATCATAAGATAGGAGAAATATTTAACAATCACAAGAAGCTGTTAGTATTGCCAATTTATTATTCTTTTGCAATAAAAACGTTACATTTTTAGATTATGAGGCTTAGGTCTTTTTGCATTGTATGGCTGAGGGTTATGTCTAAATATGTTAGTATATTCAATACCAGTGGCTTAAGTCTTTTGAATATTTAATGTTTGTGATAGATAGGCCTGCTTCTTGAGATTTTTTAGAAACACCCACTTTAAATTAAAAATTGTTAAAAAAATAGCGTATGCAAACTAATAAATAATTGTTTCAGATTTAAAATGAAATCGAGTCACAATACTAGAAGTATGAGAATAGTTAAAATGGCGCAATTAGTTGATACCGTTTGCCAAGGAAATGTAAGAGAAATTTGCGGAGATAATATGATGGGATCCACCAGAGAAAGCCAAAAAGAACACCATACAGAAAGCATTAAGGTAAATACTATAGATAGTCCCAAAGAAGACCTCGAAGAAATAAGCCCTACCAAAGACCAAGAGCAGCCTATTGATGAAAACCATAAAGAAAATCCTGAGGTGAAAACAAAAGAAAACTCAGAAAAAATTTCAAAAGAAAAGTTTGTATGCAGTAATGTTGAAATTGTATTCAATGACGACAAAGAACTTCTTAACTATGCAGAAAAAGTAGTTTCTTCCTTGACCGAATCGGAGGAATCTTCAGAGCAAAAAGGTTATTGTGAATCAGGGCCGTCAAAAAAAAGGAAGATTATTCTGAAACAGGAATAGAATCACTGGAAGGTGAAGATTATTTAGAACACGACGATGACCCGTATAGTCCCGAAGAAAATAGAAGCTACTTATGTGATTACAACGACCCCATTCACAGAACGAAAAATAAGAGAAAGATAAAAACAGTTAATATTCTTCAACAAAAGAGAATAAATTTCAATGAAGTTGATGATGAAAGTATTAATGTTACAGTTCCTAGACCTCAGATTTTGTTAAAATATCTACAATTCCGCAACCGTCATTAAATTTACCAACGGCTTTAAAAAACGCTCATATCATATGATAGCCTCCTAAATTGATAAATAAACCATCAAATTTTTGATTTTCCAGACTTTGAAATTGCATTTCTATTTTCGCGATTCCTAGATCATGAGTTACGATGATCTGCTCTTGATGACATTGGTCGGCCACTTATTTGGATATGGCCAAAGTTTCATAAACTACATTATAGGACGTAGGAGACGAATTTATTTGAGGCATATTATCAATTTTCTGCAATTACTGACGAATTGTACCCTATCCACATTGGTATCTTGTCGAGGTGTGAAAGAGCATAAACCCATAACATATTTCTCATTATAGTGCTCTCTTGAGATTTTGTAGTTGCCTACAGTATCCAGTACAACGTCAGACGATAACAATGAAAACATAGCTTGACGCTTAAAATAAGGTTTTATAACACGCTAGGTTTCTTCAAATTTGCGTCTATTACGAGACTTACTCTCTGCGGTAACATTGCTATCGTTTGAAGATGTTTGCTTTATACTGTCAGATGTTGCAGCAAGTGGCAAAGTATAATCAGTTTTTGAGAGAGAATTGATATATTATGCCCACTATATCATGGAGAGTATTATTCCGGTCAAGATATAAGAGAACGGTTATCAGCAGCTTAAAGATAACTAAGTACTTCTTACAGTGGAAAGAAATTATTCAGGTCCGCATTATAAATAATATCTAATTTTCAGTACAAACTGAAAAATGTCTAGTAATAATTTATAATTTTCGAGGGAAAATTCTCAATCTATAATCTGTAATTCTCAGAAAAAGTAGATACTTATTTATTTATTCCACTAAAAAAACTTTAAAAACTTTTTTCTAAATAGGCATATTCTCATCACACTTTCTTTTGAAGTGACTATTTTATAAAATACACTCACTGTATTAAAATTTAATAAACAAGTCACGTTAATTACCAGACTTGATATATTAGTAAGCCGGCACCCTTTTTTTGAGTTTTTCTAAATTGTGAAATTGCATATTAATTTTAATCAGAAGTATATTTGTATTCTGTAAGGTACAAGTTAAAACATTTTTGAATCGTACAATATGTGGCGACCAGGGCGACAAGATAAACCACCAACAAGTTAGTTTGCAGATTGGGTAATGTTCTACTAGAACCCATTTGGCAAAATATAGGTTACACAGTTAAACTCAAAAGGCAACATTTATCAGAAGACGCTAAAAATGTTATTTTAACTGTTTTCAAGCGACTTTGTAGTAGAGAAATGCCCCAAAGAGATAATATCCAGGAAACAGTGTCTCTAACAAATAATCATCAGTATACAAAATAATAAAACTAGGTCCGACAAGAAGACGAAAAAGAAATTCAAGCAATTCCATACGAATCAATTCACATCAGTCAGCGCCAATATGTGAAACAATCTACAGTATGTACACACTAAACACAGGGCCGCCGAGAACTAGGTGGGATCCCGCTACAATTTTCCAAGTCCTCATCTTTTATTTTTCATAAACCAGCGCTCCTCCCTCTTGTGGCGAACTACTAAAAAAATAAAACGTCCTCACCTAAAGGTGCCGGGCTCCCACTTGCGCGCGGGCTCCTGGGAATTTGTCCCGGCTACCTCCCCCCTCTCATCGGCCCTGACTAAACATTATGCCAAATCTGGGACGTATTCTAGCAATATTAAAAAAGAAACATGTCCCTGTAGTATGTTCTTAGAAAACTTGGAAGAATTAAAACAAAAACATGACTTTAGATATAAAACAGTAAAAAAAAGACAAACAATGATGGAATTTAGTCGTTTGCATACTACACTGCGGTGGAGAAGGAGTAAATGATGCATACATTATTATGCTTAAAACACATAAAAATAGCTCTTTAGATTATCATCAGGATATCGAGGAAATCTTTTCGATTCTTGGTTCGAAGAAAAACTGTTGCCAGCACTATATCCAAACAGTGTGATTGTCTTAGATAATGCATCATATCATCTAAGGGAAACTTGTAAGATTTCAACCAAATACTCTATCAAAGAAAACAGCAAAAAATATTAAATTGAAGAAGATTTATTTTTTGAAGATAATTCATTATACAAAGGCCCGACTTATAAAAGTTCTAAATACAAAAATAATCGCTAAGAAATATATCGTCGACGAAATGGCCAAGAAAAGTGGCCATAATGTGATAAGGTTACCCCCTTATTACTGTCTTTTGAACCCGATTGAACTATTATGGGCCCAACTTAAAAAAAAAAATAAAAATAAATAATATTTCACCCAAAAATTCCAACAGCGTTGTAAAACTTATAATGAAAGGGTTCTCAAATATTACCTCTGAGAACTGGAGAAATGCTATAAACCATGTAATAAAGGTGAAAACGAATATGTGAGTCACGTACTAGTTTTAAAAAGACTTGCAATTATTGTAAGCGACGTTGAATCTGATGAGGAAGGTGATGAGGGTGATGGCAGTGATTTAGGTTAGTTTTACAAACGTAATTTTCCCATTAATTTTTGAGAACTCATAAATAAAAAATTAAATCAGTAAATCCTTCTTTTGATTTTAAATTATATTTGCTTGTTAAGTACAACTCTGTACAGATATCAGTATCATCAGGCAAAAACAACTAATTATTTTAACTGACAAAAAGTTTTACGCTATTTCTTGACCGGTATAACACCCATATCAGTATCAACATCAGTATCACATTAGTAGCGCATCAGTATCAAAGTTATTAAATGCCAAATGTGTTGAGAGTTCATCAGTGACTTGAATAACAGGGGGTATTAATTTTCTTATTGGGCAGTAAAAGCGAACTCAGTCTCAAGCTCTTTAGCCAAAGAATACCCGACCGTACGCCCGTACTTATTTAGAATTGTCAACACTTTTTTGCTGTATGTTAACAAGTTATAAAAGTAATTTTAAAAAAACAGACTCCTTCAGCTGCCTTTACAAATCGACAAATCAGGTGCCAACAAACAGATTTTTATCCCATCTGTAACTATTTGTAAATGCCATCCGATCTGTGACAGTTCACATCGAAAATTTTTCAGTCCAAAATTATTTTTGAGAAAATGTTATCAAAAAAAATTGAAATTTTAAGTATGTATAAAGAAAAAAATCGTTATTTTAACTCATTCATTTAAAAAGTGCTAACTTAATTTTTTAGGGATGCCACCCCCCTCCATTTTCCTACAGGCAATGGTGGTGGTAAGATTTTTATACAAAAATGTTACAAATCAGGTCTTTTGTAAATGTGCCTAAAATTAGATTTTTATTCCATCTGTAACTATTTTTAACATAAAATATTTTTGTAAAAATGCTATCAAAAAAATTGGAATTTTTAATAAAAAAAAAAAAATTGTAGAGTCCAACTGCTTAATTCAAAAAACTGTAACTTAATTTTTTGAGGTTGACACCCCTTCAATATCAACTAAGGGATGTTTTATGCGATTTTCATATTTTTAGGACAATACATCTATATATCAACTAGCTGTTGATCGCGGCTTTACACGCGTGGAGTCGTGTTTTTAGTATAAAGAAATGCATGACTTGCTAAAAAAAGACGCGATAATATGTTGTTTTACTATTCACGGTATGTGTGTGATAGTATTATAGATTAATTAGACTATTATAATATTTAAATATATTAATCTAATTAATATTCTCATTTTTTACCACATTTCTGGTACAGCTCTCATCTGCTAATATCACCAGATTGCACGCAGTACTTATTTTTATTTATTATATTTTAATTTATTTTATTTCAATTTATTTTAATTTATTTTAATTTATTTTAATTTAATTTATTTTAATTTATTTTAATTTATTTTAATTTATTTTAATTTATTTTAAATTATTTTAATTTATTTTAATTTATTTTAATTTATTTTAATTTATTTTAATTTAATTTATTTTAATTTATTTTAATTTATTTTAATTTATTTTAATTTATTTTAATTTATTTTAATTTATTTTAATTTATTTTAATTTATTTTAATTTATTTTAATTTATTTTAATTTATTTTAATTTATTTTAATTTATTTTAATTTATTTTAATTTATTTTAATTTATTTTAATTTATTTTAATTTATTTTAATTTATTTTAATTTATTTTAATTTATTTTAATTTAAATTTATTTTAATTTATTTTAATTTATTTTAATTTATTTTAATTTATTTTAATTTATTTTAATTTATTTTAATTTATTTTAATTTATTTTAATTTATTTTAATTTATTTTAATTTATTTTAATTTATTTTAATTTATTTTAATTTATTTTAATTTATTTTAATTTATTTTAATTTATTTTAATTTATTTTAATTTATTTTAATTTATTTTAATTTATTTTAATTTATTTTAATTTATTTTAATTTATTTTAATTTATTTTAATTTATTTTAATTTATTTTAATTTATTTTAATTTATTTTAATTTATTTTAATTTATTTTAATTTATTTTAATTTATTTTAATTTATTTTAATTTATTTTAATTTATTTTAATTTATTTTAATTTATTTTAATTTATTTTAATTTATTTTAATTTATTTTAATTTATTTTAATTTATTTTAATTTATTTTAATTTGTTTTAATTTATTTTAATTTATTTTAATTTATTTTAATTTATTTTAATTTATTTTAATTTATTTTAATTTATTTTAATTTATTTTAATTTATTTTAATTTATTTTAATTTATTTTAATTTATTTTAATTTATTTTAATTTATTTTAATTTATTTTAATTTATTTTAATTTATTTTAATTTATTTTAATTTATTTTAATTTATTTTAATTTATTTTAATTTATTTTAATTTATTTTAATTTATTTTAATTTATTTTAATTTATTTTAATTTATTTTAATTTATTTTAATTTATTTTAATTTATTTTAATTTATTTTAATTTATTTTAATTTATTTTAATTTATTTTAATTTATTTTAATTTATTTTAATTTATTTTAATTTATTTTAATTTATTTTAATTTATTTTAATTTATTTT